AAGGTCCGGAACTTGCGACAGGTTTTCGTTCGGCTCCCATGTGAGCTTCTAATTAACCACCAACTCCACAAGGAGTTGCGTCCGTCGTTTGCAGAAGCATCTGTCAAGTATTCGCCAAAGCTATGAAGCTCTTCTTGGGTCCGTGGTACCGGTCAGTCCTTAGTCCTCTGCACCTTGTCAAGATGCGCACACTATTGTGTCCAACGAAGTCACCAAGGCATGGAATCGCTTCCGCACAGAAGATATACTTCGCCAACTTGACGTACAGCTTGCTTTCGCCAAGATATCCAATGTCTTTCATAACACTTCAAGGTGGTCTTCTATGCTTCTTGACTTCGTGAATACGTAGATGTCGTCATAAAACGACTTGATCTGATACTGGCGTATTACCAAGTGCGCATGGGCGAGGAAGACATCAAGTTCATCGCGTTCCAGGCTCCGAACGGACTTTGGGAATATCTTGACTTACCCATGGGAATCTAGCACCGATGCACCGGTTAACATCAAAACCATTCCGAGGCTTGCAGAAAACCCATTGTAGAGAACCAGTACGCTCCCGACATACCGTCGTCCAATGTGTCTTTTCAGTCATCGGAATGCTTTGGAGTACCGTGGTTTAGTTCTGATATGGTTTGTTATGTACAATTCATCAGGACAAGACTTGCGTACACAGATTGTTTGGGCAGCGCGAGGACTGATACTGGATCGAATCAACTTCTTCAAAACCAACATGAAGTCGGGTTAGTCGATCATCTTGGTCTTGATTCTCAGGAACTTCCCAAGCTTCTTCCGCGTAATGTATTTGGTTTGTTACACCCATCCTGAACATCTTATTCAATACATGGTCTTGCCCCGACCACTGGAGCTTGTTCCGTCTTCAGTGCGGCCTCTCGAAGATAGCATCTCGTCACCAGTTGCCGCTGATTTGCAAACCAACGGTTCTTCCTGTTGCTCGCAGACACACTATGCGCTCCGCTCTGTTCTGCAATTTGAAAAGGTTTAACGTGGGACTTCACATCCGTTTCCAGTGCAGCGCTTAAACAGGAATCGGTTCATTTCCCCGACAGATCGCTGATGCCCTAGACAATCACCGGTCCGCTTTCCTCGGTTGGTCCGCAGATCTCCCCGCTCGATCCCAGGGGAAGTCTTCTCTCGCGTTCCCTCGATTCGTCGACCTCTGCAATCGATCTGCGGCTGCATGTCATCGAAGAATGGAACTCCATGGATCCTACCATATTCATCAAACATCGCGTAGATTACAGCAACACAGCGATGAGTTTACACCTCGATTTTCATGGGTGGGACTTCCAGTTCTTTCTCAACGATGGGTCACCCCCAGCTTGACAAGATTATTCTTGTTCTCAAA